TATATCTGAATAGAAGTGCCAACACTTCCAAACAAGTACCTACACACTCAATAACCACATCCTATTGTCTTTTGTGTCTTGAAATCCAAAACATGTTATAATTTTATTTGCCACTACCATGACAGATATGAGAAGAGGTGTAAAGTAATAAATAAGTATAAATCCAAAAACACATTTATACAAGAAAAACATTATATTTTAAGTACCATACATTTCACATCAGATTGTACTTAAATTTAATTCTTTACACGAAAGATGAGATGGAAATGAAATGGAGGGATCAAGATGAATAACAAGCCAAACAAATGCATACCATCCCAGATTATCAAATGACAATGTCCATTACCTCTTCTTGCATTTTCAGGATAAGAACATACATCAAGAATCACCATATCCGTGGGACATACACACAAGTGACTCACAAACTAGCAGAAAGAATAAATGAAAATAACTGCACTATACAGTCAGATGTGCATAACCATAAATAAGACATCAAGCTATCTGAAATGAATCTCAAACCCATGGTCAACAGAGCTACTGGACCAATAAAAAAAGGGCAACAACTTACCTAAAGTCAAGGCAGCAAGAGAGGGCTATGATAAGATCCACAAAATAACAAGACATCATCAGATTTGTGAATAAGTAGGTTTTATTTAGCACTACATTACTAATTCATCACTGCTGAATTCCTGAGAAGGTCACTGACCAGTAACACAAGATTCTAAGCAAATGATTTATGACCTTTATATGAATTAGCTATAGAATTATAACTTCTCTATAAAGTCTGAAGTAACAAAATGTGGCCTTGACACCCAAAATTGGTAAACCAAAATTCAACACAGAAAACATTTCAAGAAAATGTACAAATTCTTTAAAAGACAATAATTAGCTAGACCTGTAAATGGGGTCTTTCCAATGTACATAACTTTTAAAGCCACTGCAGTATATACTTTCATGTATTCACTCATAATTTAAGCTTACCAACATAAATACTTAGCATCACATTTTTTTCAGCTACAAGTTAATACATCAGAGCTTAAGTTAATAAGTACAATAAACTTTAAAACTTACCTAAAATTACGATCTTTAACACGGGAGACGTCTCCTCTTGAAGAATGTGCTAGATCTTTTCCACTGCGTTGTGCTGAGAGATGACTAGATGCCCTTTTTTGGGCAACAGGTGAGTGAGAGGCTCTACGCCTTTCAACAATGTTTTCACGCCTAGCTCCTACTGCTCTGTTATGATAAACAAAGCTTATAAAACAATCTATATACAGAAATTTTTGAAAAAGGTGTGGAATTCAACAAAATGAGACATGTTGATATTCAAAATCAGCATCAGAAGTAATTCTCTTGGATAAGTTTACTTTTGACACATGGATGTCACAACATAATTTTCCTTGCACATCATAACTAAACAAAAACAATGATGTAGATAAATACAAAAGGTTAATGATGAAGTGGATCTTATAAATCACTTCCCTTTGTTTATCCAAAAATATTGTTTGTAAGGCTTCAGGTGTACAGCTGTAGAAACAGTTTCACAACAAGATACTCTAATATTTTTTTCCACGATGAACTACAATATAGTCTTCAACATAGTGTGTAACTATTTTTTTCAGTTATTGTGTAGCTCTTCAGACATATATGCTTCAAGGTAGTAACATAGTACAAAATTTCACTTCTGTGACTTATTCTGTCTCTTGGTAGCCAGAATTGCATTTGGAAAATATCAAACTCCGCTAATAAAATTTGTTTGAATCCAATTTTAACATACAGAAATAGTTGCAATATCACAAGAAGAGCAAACTGAATTTTGCTACTTGAGCTTGATGTTATTTTGATGCTTAGTAGTTGTAGTTTTGCCTCAAGAACTTGAGATAACTATAAAATCCACAAACCTCAACATTCTAGCCATTTAAATAATTTTACATATTATATTTTGAAAAAAAAAGAGTTCAAATAATTACTTTGTCTCTTCAGGTAATACACATCTCATTGATGTTATCCAACTGGTAACCTTCAATTCGAGCTTCTAACTTAATCTATAACTTCTGTTGCTAAATATGTTGGCTTTTCAAATCAGTGAGGTAATAAGCAAGTCATTATTGTCATGAATTCAATTTTTCATTTTCAAAGTCCTCAATCCTAAGTGTCCATCCATCAGTGACATAAAATAATCCTTTTCATTACAGATGAACATCTACAATCCTCCTCAATTCGCAATGCAAACATCTGTTTCTCCAATGTTATGATGATTATCTCTTCAATTTGTCTTAGTCTTTCATGTTATGATATGGATCTTATAGCTGCTTACTATATTCACTCTATATGTTTGATCTATCAATGGTAAGATTACTTCTATTTTTTACTCCATCTTCTATTTTCTGATCTAAAGATAGCATAAATTATTCAGGGCTCTTCCTCTTCTACAAAATTTCCTAAAAAGATGTTTTCCTTTACACAGCAGTTTTTCTCTCAATGATGCTCTTGTTACTTATATTTTTATTTGTGTCCACTGACTTCATAATCCAGCTAGATGCCTGTGATGTTTGCACAATTTACACAATGTCTACAGCATGTTCAGGTTGACACTGTCTAATCCAAAATATTTATTATTAAACTCCTTAATCAACAGTTCCATGGTGATTCCATTATGTCCCCAACAAGTATTTATGATTGATAAAGATAATTCCAACATCCAGTTTTTTACCCTACATGTATAACTCAATTATTCAGTCCTTATAACTTTGGCAATCAACAGTTGATCCATGTGTCACACGGGATTCTTCTTCTTCTTACTGTATGCTGCTAATACTCAAACTGAAAGCATCGGGTGTTCAAGTATCATATTTCATAGCTCAAGTTCCTAACAGTCAAACTATCATACAACAAAAACAGACCACAGTGATATTCTCTTATTTACCTCAGGCTCCTACCAATCCAAGAATAAGTCATCATGGGTAACCTAGGCCATTTTTCGTTTCTAATCTGGCTCTTATCAATCAGTTAGTATGAAATTGAACAACTGATTTTTGATTTGTTCTGCATAAGTCAGGAAGAGTTTAAAAAGCCATAATCTTCTAAATTATCAACAAGTGTTCAGAGTAGGTACTAAGTATTTCCTCATAATATATAACGATTACAATTTTAAACAGTTAACTTATTAAGTACTGTAAGGTACCATATATATGTTATTGTTGATTTTACAATGTACTGTAATTCCAAGATCAATGATAATGAACTGCAAGTTAATAAGACAGTTCATTTTCATTTTTCAGCTTAACTATGCTGTAAACCAAGTCTAGCAAGTTTTGAGTTATATTCTTCTCTCATGACAAAGTACACGTGATAAAACATATGGCATGGGTTTACATATCTGGAAAACCCATCAGTCTACATTTTTATCACAGTTTCAATTTATTAATTTTTTTTTATCTTTCAAGTTAAAGGTTATCATTAAACCTATTGACTGCTCCTAATTTTTTTATAGTACAATAAACATTGTAAATTTGGTATTAGAAGATATGTTTTTAGTAACTCTTCATTTATTCCATAGAAATACACACAGTAACAAAATAAAAACAAAAAACAGTTATTTTTATCCCTGCTTTGGTAGATGAATGAGAAACTCTTCTAACCACTGGCTTTTTTTTAAAGCAATTAGTATCTTTTATATTTAATGTCTTATGAGACATTATGTTTTTTGCTTGAAAAAATTTTGAAATTTAAGTTGTATATTACACGCAGTGTATCTAATTCAGTAACTGTAGAATATCTTCCTATACTGTACTATCATATTCCTAAGTCATAAATCAGTCCAGGGGTTGAATTTAATATTGCAATTATTGAAGTCCACCAGACTCAGGGCTCAATTTTAACGGTCGTTTGAGATGACTAAACACTTCCTCAGCCAACCAACTTAAACCCCCGTACTGTCCGAAGCAGCTACCACCATAGATTAGAGCCTTACTCAGAACACCACTGCAGTCTACTGTACACTTATCCATATCCACACTACACACATAATGTTGACTCCAATCCTCAACCAAAATCATCGATAAATTCCATAAATTTAAACTCAAAAATTTGAACCCCACAAAAATATATTTTGGTCTATTTTTTTTGTTTAAAAAAGATTGTACTTTGTACAAGAGAAATGTTGGTACAATCCACCAAAAAGGGCTGAAACATTAGGAAAATTTTACTTTTGTGATTGGCTAATAATGCTGTTTTAGTAACTAAACTTTCTATCATGGACAAGCTGTGCCTCTGTGCTGCTTTATGCACGTAAATTTTGTATGGGGTTAAACTGAGCATGAATGGTTATGTGTGGTAACACAATACAGTGTATACAGCTCAGTTAGTTACATTTCCACACACTGTATTGTGCATTGTTTGTACACGTATATATGGGCAGGTGGGGAATTCTCAACGAAACCAAATACTGATAAGATTAATTTCCAGTCTAGATGCTTATGACAATAAAATTAAAATGGCTGTTTCAACTTCTTACCAATAAACCTTCGGTAGGAACTAAAATTACCAAATTTGCTAAATCAAACTCAGAATTTTCATTGTTAATCATCACAGTTGAAACACTGCCCCCTTTCGATTAGGCATGTATAAGCCTAAGGCTAACATTAGACAAACACAACTAATCAAGTTTGGGAAAATCCACAAATTAAACAAAGCCTACTAATGATAACTACAAACAAAACTGTATGAAAGTTTTGATCAGTATGAAACAGAATAACAATAAATAAAATAAGGTTAGCTTTATCTCTCTCTTGGTCAATATAAACTATGAGTATGAAGGACAATACATATCAGCAGTGTGTGGGTGTACATGTGCAGTGGTCAGGCATTGTGTAGATATTACAGTATAGTTGTATGTGTGAGAGTTACAATGCAATTCTAGTCTTACTATAGGCTGTACTTTACTGTACTTGGCAGGCAGGCCAAGCTGGTTAGAATGAAAACACTGAATGTGATTGGCCAAGATTGCTGTTCTGTTTAAAAGTTTTACAGGTCCTTGACTGTTTGTTTCCTTAAGATACTATGTAACATTAGCAGCATTTGGGCTTATTTTTTCCAATATCATGAAACTTCCTAGGAAATAAGGCATCAAAAATTTGTTGAATAAAGATGCAAAATTGCCAACTGAACATTAATTAGCATAATTTAATGTTTTGGGAAAACATGGGACCTATTGGTTCATAATGTCTGTCCAATCCTCTAAACTAAAAGTATTAAATAAATAAATTTTAAAAAAATCATAAAGCTATTTCTTATCATTCATATAGTTATCAATATTTCTCTTAAACTCTCTTAAATTTACACCTCCACAACATCCGAAGGAAACCCATTCGAAAGGCTAACCACCCTGTTGAAAAAATAAAACTGTCTTAACTGAACATGACTCCTACCCACCAAAATTTATGTTTGTGTCTCCTAGTCCTCCTGTTATCACTGTTAAGTATGAAAAAAGATGATGCATCAACACTATCAATTCCCTTTACACTCTTAAACACCTCAATCAGATCCCCCCTAACTCTTCTTTTTTCAAGAGAAAACAATTTGAGAGATCTCAACTTTCCTCATAGACAACCCCTCCATCCCAGGCACAATTTTAGTAACATTCCTCGGAATTTTTTTTCCAACAATTCAATGTCCTTCCTAAGGTAAGGAGTCTAAGACTGAACACAATACTCCAAATGTGGCCTAACCAGTGATCTATACAATGAAATTATTATGTCTTTAAACTTGCATTCAATATTTCTGTAGATACAACCTAAAATCTTATTTGCCCTACCACTAGCAACAGTACACTGCTTGGATGGCTTTAGAGACTTATCAACAATTAAACAAAGATCTCTCCTTTCATAACACTGTTAAAGTTATTCCCATCCAAATTCTACTTTTAATTCAAATTATGATAACCCCATATGTATTATCTTGCATTTATTATAATTAAAACACATTTGCCATTTATTTGCCCAACTCACTAAATGATCTAAATCATTTTGTAAAGCAGCAGCATCCTCTTCACAGCTAACAACACGCAAGACCTTAATATCATCAGCAAATTTATGTAATTTATTAACCATTCCTTCATCTGTGTCACTGATGTAAATAAAAAAAAAGCACAGGTACTAAGACTGTGCCTTGAGGTACCCCACTTGTGACATTAATCCAGTTTGACTGAATTCTATTTATAACCACCATCTGTATTC